CGGGATGTGGTTTCATCCTTTCCACCCACACAACGGGGCCTGGTGCAAAGGGCATATGCACAGGCTGGATCCAGATTAACTCTGGCTCAGCTGATGGAAATGGCCATCTTTGCCCTCTCCTTGCCAGAGCAGAGCCTCCACTCCCCTGGAAATGCTCCCCAGAGGGACCCTGCTGAGTGGGGTGAGCAGTGACGGGGAGAAGCGGGGAAGGTCCCCCAAAATCAGGCAGAGGGATTTCTGCAAGCAGAACCCTTGCTCTCAAAGACAGTCCATTCGTCTTGCAGAAGGCAGATGGTGGACCCAGCCTTTAAGGAGAAAGAATTCTGAGTCCAGGAATCTGTTCTGTTTCTGCTCAGAAACTCGCTCCCTGGTCAGGGATGGCTCCATCATTTGCCAGAGTGAAGCTGCCACTTCAGGCAGCAGATGCTGGGGGGGTGGGGGTGGGGGGCAGGAGGTGGCACCGCCAAGCTGGTGTAGGGTGGTGTTGTGTGCCACGTGCCTGCCCTGCACCTCTCAAGCCAGCCGGCTGCTTCCAAGCGCTTTGGTGGAGGCGAAGCCTTGCCAGTGCTGAACCCCGATTCAACTGCTGGTGCAGTCACCTTCTGCACGTGGAATTGTGGGTGGGTGGGTGGGTGGGGAGAGCCCCACCATGTCCTTCGCCTTAGGTAGCAAAATCTGTTGGCTCAGCCGCGCTCCTGCGCTCCCCTAGCTTTCTTCATTTCAGCAATATAATTCAGAGCGAGAGTTGTTTTGTTGCTGAGACGGCACGGACAAAAGCACATTAGAACGGCAGTGGAAGCTTTCTTAGGCAGTGGAAACTGGACGGCACCCTCTGCCACATCTGAAGATGGCAAACCAGGTTAGGGGGCATGGGGCAGGTTGCAGGACCCACACTTGCGGCATGAATGTGGCCGCCTCCCAGCGTCTGGCTCACTTTCCCTAATGGGTGGGCAGGCCTTGGAACAGGTTAGCCTGGCCAGGGAGTCCCTTTTTGCAATGGAAAGGTGGAGTAGACATATTTTAATAAATACATTTAAAAGATAGAAAATATATGAAAGCAACTTGGATCATGAAGCTGAGCAGAGGGAACAGATGGGGAAATGCAGAAAGGAGACACATGGATGTAGAGAAAGGACAGACAGACAGATATCACTCAAGTCACAAGCTTCTCAGACACAGGGGCATTTGCTCCCAAACCATGTTTGGTTTCATATATAATATTTATATTTATATATTTACACAAGAAGAGGGTGTTTATTCCAACTGTTTGGGGATTTATCCAAGGAGGGAGTTTACACATACAGAGCAAACGCCAGACAGACCAACCAACCCACGGAGGTAACTAATGGGGATGGGGGAAATTAGAGGCTAGAGGAAAAGGTGGGTGTCTCTGCAGCTTGGAAGCCGGGACTCTGCCTGTCCGTCCCTGTTGTTGAAACTGGAGGAAGAGCACACAAATCTGCTGGGATGGTGGGGCTGGTCTGGAACATTCCAAACGTCTCACACTCTTATTGCAAACTGAGTTGCAATGTAAACGGCTGTGTGTGTGTGTGTGTGTGTGTGTGTGTGTGTGTGTGTGTGTGTTGAGGGGTTATGTGTTGACCTAACTATGATCATAACTGTGCAGACTTGAACAATCCTGTTTTGTTACCTTGCTAACAATCTTGTGAGGCAGGCCACCTTTCATCTCCTTTTACAGATGAGAAGTATGAATTGCTTGGGATCATTTTACAGAAATGTTCACAGAGCAGACCAGGCCTCGTGAGTTCTAGTCTGATGTTCTAGTGGCTATTGGGTAATGGCATAGAAGCACTGCACCAGGCTTCTGCAACCTGGTGCCCTCCAGGCGTGTTGGATCATGCTTCCTGGCTGGGGGATTCTGGAAGCTGTAGGTCAACACATCAGCAGAATACCAGGTTGGGGAAGGCTGCTCGACGCTGTGTTCACACTAGAGCAGCTGAAGCACTTCAGATGTGTAGTTTGCAAGACTGACAACTCACATTCATGGTATACCTGTGCTACTTCTAACGAGTCTCTAACCAATTGAACATCCATGCCTCCTAAGAAAAGTTATCTGGGAACAGTTGATTTCACAAGGGATTTGAGGTGATTCTAAGATGTGGTAAAATGTCTCGAGATGACCACTGAGACCCACATTCAAATCCCCACTTACCGTATTTTTCGCTCTATAAGACGCACTTTTTTCCCCCTCAAAAGTAAGGGGAAATGTCTGTATGTCTTATAGAGTGAATGTGTGTGTGCCCGACGCCCGGGAGGCTGCCGGCCCGCCTGCACCACGTGGCACCACCTGGCCGGCACGCGCTTGGCATGCCCTGCTCCATCCCCGCCCTCCAGCGCAGGTGAGAGCTGTGCCGCTCAGGGGGAGGCGTGCGGAGGAGGAAGAGCCACGGGCTTTAACCCACTGGCCGCACGGAGGGACGGACTGCTCACCCCCACCGCCCGGGAAGACCTGCCACCGCCGTGCCGCCTGGAAGACCAACACCGGCATGTTGCCGGCCCGACTGCACCACACCTGGCCGGCACGCGCTCGGCACGCCCTGCTCCGCCCCATTCCTCTGGCGCAGGTGAGAGCTGTTAATCACAGGTTGGTGTGTGTTTTCAAATGGCAACCCGTCTTTTAATGAAGCCCATGGAGAAGTGATGGGGAATGTGCCTGTGATTATCAGGAAGCTTTCCATGGATCCCTCCTCTAAAAACTAGGTGTGTCTTATGGTCAGGTGCGTCTTTTAGCATGAAAAATACGGTAATTGCTGGATGAATTTGAGCTAGTCATTTTCTCTTTCAGCCTAACCTACCTGACAGGATTGTTGAGAGCATGTGCACTACCTGAGCTCTTTGGCAAACAGGGACAAAAATTGTAATGTACAATAGGCCAGTTAAGTGACAAAAAGACAGGCTAAGTGCCATTTTCCCCCAAAAAGGTTGGCATAAATTAAGAAATAAGTATTTCCCAGGTTTCTTTGAAAGGAAACTTTCTTTCTTAAGATGCGTTGAGTTTTGCACTGCAGATGTGGCCACAGTTTAAAAATATTTTATAGCTGTTCGAAACAGCATTTAAAGAACTTTAATATGTACTATAATATACGTATACTGGTAATGTTTAACATGTTTTAAATCAGAATCTGGAGAGCAAATCATTCCAAGAGTTTGGAAACGGTGGTGCTACTTCTTGAGCTGGGAAGAGAGGGGCTTTCAAAAATACTAAAACATCTTTGCAGGCCACTTGAAACCATCACACAGATTGTGGTCTGTCAGCTGAGAGAATGTCAACCTGCTTAATGTGAAAAGCGTTGGTGGCTTGGGAAAAACAAGAATAATTATGGTAAAAAAGCACGTGGAGTTTTCAGAAATGGTTGGTGAGCACTTTGAAAGCAGCTGAATGTGCCATGCCAGCCCTCTGCTTTTTCCATCATGGCTGCAAACCATCAGCCTCCAGCCTAAGCTAAGTTGCTTCTCTTTCCTCAGTATGGGGTGACCATTGGCTCATGGATGCTGAAGGCATAAAGATGCACTGTTTCTCCTGGAAGAAAGTGCCTCAGGTACATTTCCAGGGCTGGCAGCAGGAGCTGGTGTTGCCGGGTACCCACTAAGGTCTGGGCTCTGGCACCGCTCCTGCCTCCCGTCTCGGCTGCTTCTCTGCTTTGCAGTTGCTCCTGCCAGTTTATCTTCTCTCTCCAAGAAAACAAGTAGCGAACGGGGAGCAAGGCAAAGATTAATAGCCTCTACACAACCTCTCCTCCCTCCCTCCCTCCCTCTCTTTCTGGGGGGTATGTGTACAAGTGCACAAGGGCCCGTGAACACACTACTGGGGGGAATGGTTTGATTTGTTTCTAGGAAAGGGAGGGGATTGAGGCACGGGCTAAGGTGCTGCAGCTGCAAGATGCTAGAAGAGGCTACTTAACCAAGGGGTCAGAGGCATTGAATTTACCTCCAGTTCCCTGTGGGAAGGAGCTGCAGTAGGACATGGGGAGATCAAACTCACAAAGCTGCTTAACATGGAGCCTGGCAATGGTCCATCTAGTTCAGTATTGCCTTCTCTGACTGGCAAAGGCCTTCCTAGGGTAGGCCAAGTGTTCTCCTTTACAAAGGACAGTCCTCAGTTTGAAAGGCTGCCCGAGGACGGTCCACTTTTTAAAGATATCCTCCTCTATCCTGCACAAGTCCTGCGTAAAAATAACCATTAAAAGAGACCCCAGGAGGGCCCTGAAGTTGCCCATCAAGAGTTAGCACCTGGAAAGCAGATTGAACCGGTGGTCACCTGATCACAGTCCTCCCTGCAACAGTGGCATAATATATTTCTAGTTAAATTATAATAATAATGTCTAAATTTTCATTTAAAATTTAGTATCAATTAGTATTTGCACATTTTATGCAGATCTATGCAAATCTTTTTCCCTCCTTTTTGGTGACACACGTCCTCTTTTTGAATTGAACCACGAACATACATCAGGTACTACCAGCATGCCCTGGTCTCGTCTGGCTCCTGGTTAACGTAGGCCCGAAGGGTCAAGTTACGCTGTTGTGACTATGTGTCCAAAGCTATTCAGTGGGGCAGCAGGACGGGGAGGGGAGAGGTCAGTCTGTGTCAAATTTAACCCCACCTGCATGTTCCGGGGGGGGGGGGGAGGCAGAAACCAGCGCATGACACTGGTTGGCTGAAGATTGGGTGGCCCATGAAACATGGCTGCTGTCCTGGCAATGTGCCAAAGCTTGTGGGGCGGGGGAGGAAGGTCTGGATGGAAAAATGGGCTCTGGGTCATTGCCAAGGCATCGTACCAGGCGAGGGGCAGGTGGGCAGTTTTCAGTGGGTCCAGACAGTTGTACCAATGCACCAGAAACGGGGAGCGTGACGAGTGGGGTGGGACGGGTGACGCGGGCGGGGAAAGGACGGAAAGTGAATGTAGGCCTTTCCCCCTCACTCCTCTGCACTGAACCAAGGCCCTGGCGCCCCCATGCGGGAGGGGGACCGGGGGGCCCCTCTACGACAAGTCCCGCTCTCCCGGTGTGCCGTACATGTAGGAATCCTTGCCGGGCTCCTGTATATATTCCTCCTTCTTGTCCCAGTCGGCGGACCAGCCTCCATTGGCAAAACTGGTGCTTTTGGTGGCACCGTAGCCCCCGCCACCGCCGCCCCCTCCCACCGCCATCCGGGCGGCCTCATCCTCCTCGTCGGCCAGTTCGTCCTCGTTGATGAAGCCGCACTTCTCTTCGTGGAGTTCTTCGGGCTCAGCCCACGGCTGTTTCTCGCCAGAGGCAAAAACCCCGTAGAAGATGACGCCTCCGTAATGCACCAGCGAGGCAATGAGGAAGACGTACTGCCACTCCTCCCGGGTCTGCGGGGGAAGAGGAAAAGGTGGGTCGTTCAGAACTTACTTCGGGGCAGCTTTCCTCCACCTTGGTGCCCTCCAGGTGCATGGGGCTGCGGTCCCCATCATTTTCAGTCTGTATGGCCTAAGGATGATGGGAGTTGTAATCCAACACTTCTGGAGGGCATTGAGCAGGGAACGGTGCTTCAGGACACGTGGACTGAAGTCCCTGTCCCACAGCTGCTGGCTCACATGCACTGCGCAGGACAGCGTGGTGGGACACCTGCTCTGAGCGCCTCCTTCCATATTTCCATAGAACAAGGAAAGCCCCAAGAAAGCCCCTGTGGCATGGGAGTGAGAGAGCTGGGCTGGAGGTGGGGTGGTCTGGAAGATATGGGTCCTGGTCTCCCCTTGGCCATGAAGCTACCCGGGTGACTTTGGGTCAGTCGCTCAACTTCAGCCTAACCTACCTCACAGGGTTGTTGTGAGGAAAACATGGAGAAGAGGGGGATTGTGCAAGGCACTTGGTTTTCTTATAGGAAAAAAGGCAGGGTATAAATATAACAAATGAAAAGGTTTGTTAGTGGCAGGGCTTTTTTTTTGTCATAGAACGCACCAGAACAGTGTTCCAGCACCTTTTTTTCCAAAGGATTTTACGACATGATTTTGAATCGTAGCAGATCAGCAGCAAACATCATTAACATAGTGCCTGCAGGCTGCTTTTGTGTCCGCTATCTGCTTTCTGATAGTGAGATAGTGAGAGCACTCTCCGCTTGGCTTGGGATTGGTGTGTGTGGTCCTGCACTTACCGCCAGCGACGTGAGCTCCGGCACCTTTTTTTTTTTTTTTTTTACAAAAAAAGCACTGGTTATTGGTCAATATAAAATATACAGAATGGAGTAGACTGCCTGATCAAATAGGCCACTGAGTTCCATAGACATAAATTCAATCAAGAATCATTGTAAGTAGAAATACCAGGCCAAAACTGAAGTATAACACAATGGATCCAACCTGTACATATGTTCAGAGCCCCACAGCCCAGCTCCCCTCCAAAAAATACTAACCAGAGAGTGGCAAATTGGGTTCAGATTGATGCTGGTTATCACACCTTCCTTTATGCTTAGTCTTTAATATATTTAACAGGTAACCATCCAGGCATGTTTATGGTTACGGATGATAGTTTTATTATTTTAATTCAAATATATTATCATTTTCTACAATAAATTTGTGTTGAATCCCAAGGAAAAGGCAACAGAAATAACTTGCTGTAATCATGAGGATGCTGTGACTTCAGTGAGTTGAAAAGGCAAAACGGCCAAGGGTTCAGAGCAGTGCAGAACTGCATATCCTACTCCAAAAAAAGTCGGGCTTGGCCATTTTTCCCCTTTGTTTTGCTCTCATATATCAGGGTGATATAAGAGATTTGCTCTCATATCTTATATATCTCATATATCAGGAACGTAAGATAAAGAATTGTGTGTGTGTGAGAGGGAGAGAGGGAGTTGTGGGGGCAGAAACTGCCCCAGACACAGAACCCCTGATCTCAGAGTCCGCGCTTTGGCTTCCTACCTTGTGTTTGGTCATGGCTCCAACAATGAGTGGACACACCATCCCCGACAAGGTTCCCACACCGTTGGAGATGCCCATAAGGATACTGGCATATCGGGGGGCAATGTCTAAGTGGTTCACATTAAATCCTGAAAACATGGAGAAGGGAAGCAATGAAAAGGAATTCAAGTTACACACTGCCCTGCTCAACACCCTCAAGCCAGCTGAGATCAATTGTGTGTGTGCATTAGACTGTTGCAATTGCCGACTGGGTCCGCTACTGTTGGATCTTGCCCACTCATGGCTTAAGGGTCACATGGGGTCACTGTAGTTTGGGGTTGAATGACTGAAAGAAAATTCAGTAGGAGTTTATTACTCTTTCTGGGTGTGACAGACACAAAAATTCTACTGCATTCCTAAACAGACACATTTCAGAGACATGAATTTCCGGCTTGGTTTGTGCAAGTGTTCCATAGATTCTAATGATTCCCTCCCCAAAGAAGGAACATCTGACTATATCTGGGGCTGGTTGGGCTATAGGTGTTGGCTGCAGCCCTGCTACACATGTGGAACATGAGATAGGTGGAACTCGAGATATGCCAGTGTTGAAAGTGATACGAAACAGCTCAGGTTACTGCACGAACCTGCGGCTGGACTTGTCTGCTGATGAGGAAAGGCTCAAATATGGGGGGTGCTGGCACAGAGGAGAAACACCCTTATCTTGGATGTGGCACACATGCAAACCCTGGCTGCACCCCACTGATGGTAGACTGTTATTCTCACTCTAGAATTGGTCCTGGAAATTGCCCTCCCATTGACCTCAATGGTAAGGGAATAACATTTTTTAAAAGAGTCACTCCAGCATCAGCCATTGCCCCATCCATCTCATGATGACAGCACAGGATGCAGAAGAAGCCTTCAGGGCTGGGCAAAGGCCTTTTGCTGCCTGTGGTAAAATGCAGGACGGCATCTAACCCTCATTCTGCAGACAGAAATTGTCCGGGCTGGTGGCTGATTCTTAGTGAGACACCAACAACACAGCTGTGTCATCCACCACATCTGAGTGCTGCAGACTAGCTTAGGGGGCATGAGGTGGGCTTTATGGCACGCACAATTCTGCCCACCAAGGCCTCCTCCTTGCTTGTCCTCCCCACCATTTGCCACATGAGGTCGTTGCCTCATGGCACCAAAAGGAAGGGCCAGTGAAAGAGCATGCAGGAACATGGTCCTAACAAGGCCAAATGACACATACAGCTTCATGAAATGGTCTGAGGAAGCAACGGTGACTGATCACACCCCCCATGTGTGTGTTTGGAGAGGAGGAGGGAAGGTTTGGAGCACCATGGTCAGCCCTGAAGGTCAGCCCAGATGCCCAAGAGCTTACCTGAAATAGCAAAGCCGCTGAAACCCACGGCCAGGACAAGGAACGAGATTGCAACGCCTTTACTGTGGGAGTAGCCAACCACTAGAAGTAGTGTGGCTTCCATGCCAAACCCTGTCAAAAGAGAGCGAGGAGTAAGAATTGCGTTCAGGGGGTGTGTTTGGGTTTTTTTCTGGTAAAATTTCTTCCTTCACAGGATGGAAGGAAATTTGCATTTTTAAACATTACATATAGGAGAAACTGAGCATGACTGAATCTGAAAATCCAAGTAGGTCCATCTGTAACTGCTGTATTGCAGGCTGATACACAGAGGTACTCTCTGTGCTGGAAACAGCTGTCATTATTGCATCTGGACTGTGCAGATGGGTGAACATTTCATTTGGTTTGTTTTTGAGAACTTGACTGGAAATTGCACATTTCTTCATATTCAGCATGAGGAGAACTTTAGATTTTAAAAATTCAAAGGTGAAAGAAAGGGAAACCTAATAATTTTTTCTATCCCTAGTGAGTGATGACTGGAGAAAGTGACCCTACATGCACCCAACTCCTGCAATGCGAAGTTATCTTGACACAAGGTAAGCTACCTTTTTTATTCTCCTAGGCAAGCTTTAAGGACAAGCAAACACATGCACAAACCTTTCAAGCCACTCTAGAAGCTGGCTTTGATTATTATTATTATTATTATTATTATTATTATTATTATTATTTTGTGCATGCATGCTCTCTCTCTCTTTCTTTGTGTGTACACGCATGCGTGTATGAGGCTCAATCTAAGATGGGTGTAGAAAAATGCCTTCCAGAAACCCTGAAGAGTTATTACTGCCTGCCAATGCTGGCAATATGGGATTCCATGGACCATGCGCCTGCTTCAATAGAGGCAGTTTCTGCTACTCCTGGGTTGTTCCTGGTGTCCTCCAGATGGGAGATGCTCAGTGCTATGGACTGGGAAATGCAGGAAGTTGTAGTCTGACGCATATGGAGGCTACTAGGTTGGAGAAAGCTGTTTTGGCATAGAATATGAACTCCTGGTTGATGGTGTCGTTTTACTTCATTTGCACTGCAAAGCGCCTTGAGAGTACAGACCTGCTGAAGGTGGAAGGTAAAGATGCAACAAAAATGGACAAATAAAACTCAAACCTCCAGCCTTTCATAATCTGGAGGATACCAGGTTGTAAAAGGCTGAGCTTAAGGACTTTGGGCCTGCTGTCATTCTGAGAAGATGGGCCAGTATTGTGAGTTGGTATAAGACAGGTGCGTGCATAAAGGAAATTGGCAAATTTATGAAAAGTAGACTTGAAAAGGAGTTCTCCAAAGGCAGGAACACCTATAGGGTCAGGCCATGTAGCTCTGATATGATATGAATATTTCCCATGACCAAGTAATTGGAAGCCCTACACAGACTCCAAGAGGTTTTGCCTCCATGAGTGCTGGAATCTTGGCTCCCTACCCACCAAACTAACAAACCAATGCATGAAAGCAGAACCCATGATTTCTGTGCAAATGACCAGATTCCCTCATTACAGCAGGGCTGTTGGGCCACAACTCTCGTCCTCTCTGATGACAGCCCGTGCCAGCTGGGGCTGATGGGAGTTGGAGGGCCACAGGTGCCACACCCTGCTTTAAGAAATATGCTGCTTCACAGCTTGCTTGTGCCCATTGCGGCCTATGCCCACTGCCGAGCCAGCCAGGAGCCCCGCACCCAAGTCTGGGTCACCCTCAGCCCTACCCCTCCTCCTGCTCCAGCGACTCTCTCTCTCTCACCCCCACAGTTCATCATCTTGCGGACATTGGTGGTAGACATGATCCTCCGCGTCCGCAGAAAGTCGGCGATTTGGCCCCCGATCGGTACGATGATTGTCATGACCAGGTGGGGCAAAGCTGAAAGCATACCCACCTGTACAGAAGGAAGAGGGTATGGAAAACTATTCAGGAAGACCAGGGACAGGGGAAGGCTGCTGAAAAGCTTTTCAGAAAACCCAGAAAGCTCGCATTTGGAGAGGGAGAAATCACAGGACAGACAAGAATGGCTCTTTTAGCTCTTAGGTTGCAATCCTAGGCATATTTAGACCAAAAAAAAAAAAAAAAAAAGCCGTACTTTGTGCCTGGGACATGCTGGGACCTACATGGCTAGGATTGCATCCTTGCATCATTATATGGCTGTTTCAAAGGACTTCAGACCCACTTCCAAAAGGGGCTGATGATATTATTAAGTACCAGGCAGACTTCTGTGATTTTGGCACCTACTGAAAGCACACCTTGTTCAGCAAGAATTTCCAGGAAGGTAACACTGCATTCTGTATATAGTAATATTATGCAGTGTTTAATTGCAATCTTATAATGTATTGTTTTGGGTATCACTTAGAAATCTCAGGTAATGGGATTTAAATATATTGATAAAATGATTATGTGGCTGTTGTTTCAGCAACACCTACAACTGCTGAACCAGCCAAGGTGAATTAAAAGTATTCTTGTGCTGAGTCCAGGAGCTCTCCTAGCTGGGAGTTCTATTATATTTCATTTTGGGGATGTTGACATACAGTTTGCCTCATTGTTGAGGTTTAAACATGTTCTTCTATAAAGACCAACATCTTTGATTTTTCTGTCTGCTCTCTGTGAGGTTAACCCATGGCCCGTGGGGCTAAGCTGGCCTGCAGAGGTTCCAAATCTGCACATCCAGCCACAGACCCTCCTGGGATTTCCTCAGGGGTAGAATTGCCTTCTAAGCCTTCCTGAAGGCATCGCTTCTCCTACCTCCAGAGGAATCTTCACTGCTATCTTCTACCCACAACCACAGACAACAGCAAGCAACTTGTCTTCCAAACCTAAACTTAAACTATGGAATTAACTTCCAGATAATGTAGTGATGGCTACCAATTTGGATGGTTTTCAAGGGGAACTGGAGAAATTCACAGAGGAGAAGGCTCTCTGTGGCTACTAGTCCTGATGGCTATGAGCTGCCTCCAGTATCAGAGATGGAAGTCCATGGCTGAGTCCATTTGCATGGGGAAGCATCAGCAGGACAGCGCACTGTGTGCAAAGCTGCAAATTCAGCCGATGCGTGGAGAAGCAGCTGTGTTGCTCAGCACCAGCTGTGCCCCTTCCTCCATGTCCCTCAGCATGGAGAAAGCCGGTGCCACCAGTGGGGGTGGTCACAGCCACTCCGGGCATCACAGCAGGCGATTCAGTCTCTCACCTAAAACAAGTTGCCCGCTCCTCGCTACTCTATGAGTTTGCTAGGTTTTTGAGTCTGCTTATATTCAAAATACATTTTTGGGCCAGCAGATGATGAAAGAGCACTCTGGATAGTGATGCGATGATCCAGCTGTGCTAACTGGAACTCATCCAAAACTAGACCAGACTGTGCTTTGGGTATCTCACCTGATTCCACTGCTATAGCATTGAGCCCTGGAGGATAGAAACAATTTGGGGAATCTGGCTCTTGGGTTTGCTGGAGTTAGTCCTGGCCGAAGAAGTGAGCTGAGCAAAAACCGTCTGCGAATGCTCAGAAATGCTAGCAGGCCTCTTCTATGTGCTGAATTATTCTTGCTCAAAGTACACAAAGCATGTACATTGTGTGTGTGAAAACGGAATGCCAGTCACACAGTGGGCATGCGTGCAAGCTGGCCTCACAAGTTATACCTGGCCGTCCACCCTTGGACTCACTTGCTGCTGGATGCCCGTACAAACAATCGGCATGAGTCAGGTTCAGGGCAAAGAGAAAGCAGCACAGAGTCCAGAAAGCTGAACTGAGGGAATCCAATGGATTCCCATCCCTAACCAGATTCCTGATAGATCACTAACTCTGCATGTGTCTAGGAGTGCTTTCTTTCCTGCCAGTTCCTGCTAATATACAATATGGCTACACCCCCGTTCGCATGACCCATTGTTGATGAGCAATCCCCCCCTCCCCGATTACATGCCATTTCTCACCTTACTAATTTCAAAGCCAAAGACTTCTTCAAAATAGGCTGGTTGACTAATTAAGAGCAAATAGAAGGTCCAGCTCCGGCAAAAGTTGGCCACAATAATGGCATAGACAGGCATGGATGTGAAGAATTTGCGCCACGGTGTTTTAAATTTCTGCCAAAAGGGAAGAGGGAAAACCGATGTGAAGGCTTCGGCTATGCAATCACACATGCCCAGTTGCTTTCCCCCATGGTACCTTTCAGTTCTGTTTGGATTAGAACCCCCATCATCCTCAGCAAGCTAAACACACAAATTGAATACACACACCTGATCGCACTAACCATCTAATTTAGATGTTAGAATGTTGGCTATCTTACTGTCTTTGTCTGTTCTAAATCTATTATTCAAAAAGAAACTGGAAAGCCATCTGAGTGGGCTCGATGGCCTGCATGGCCCCTTCCAACTCTAGTATTCTATGATAAAATGTATTAAAATAATACTGCAAGACACTAACCATAAGAGGATTCATAAGACTGGCACTCTCCCCAATGCTTTCTTCTATGTATTTCCTCTCCTCCTCTGTGATGGTCGGGTGCTGTGCAGGACTCTCATAGGAAACCATGAGCCAGAATAAGTACCAGAAGATACCAAAGCTGCCTGCCAAAGGACAGAATTGAAGGATGTATTGGAGGAAAGTTTTCTCTGGCCCGACAAGGTCTTGACAATGGAGAGACTCAGTAATCAAAACAATTTTGCCTACTTTTCTCAGGTGGTTTACTTACCATAGACGTAAAATATGGAGCTCCACCCAGAGTACTGCACTAGAATGCCAGCGAGAGGCATGGCCACCACAGCCCCGGCATAGGAGCCTGCAAAGATATATGGAAAATGTTAAGCAAGCATACAAGCCAAGATTCCTAGCTCCTCCCAAGAGCCTGTCCTTTAATGATACCTCCACACTTCCTATTTAGTCTGGAATTGGCATCTTCTGTTACAGATATTTTGCAAAATAAAGAAAAAGGGATGGGATTTAGAGGAAAACAGTAATTAAAGTCCTCACTTCCCCAGTAGGAAACAGAAACTGATGAATAATGGGGCAATTAAAGGGCAGTTCCTCAGTTATTCACCAATAGGGCTGGCTGTGCTGAACAGGAGAGGAAAAGAGGGGCAGAACCTGCAAGGAGGAAGCTACTAGTTAATATTGCAGGGGAGTCTTTTCTAATGTTTATTTCCTAGTAAACTTTAGAGAAGTTTCTCAGCCATAAGAGATTAGCATTGCTGGGTAATACAGCACTATATTCTACTGCTGTGTGGAATCACAGTTTTAATTCCACTTCTGTCTGAGTAACAGAAGAACTATGCCTCAGCAGCCCTAAGGACAGAAACTTGAGCAGACAATCCCAGTGAGTTTGCTGAACCAGGAGTCTTGTGACCCAGGAGACAAAATTTTAAGTCACTCACCAAGGGCTGGTTCAACTGATTTACATATTTATTTATTTAAAATCAAGATGTGACGCTCTAGATTTGGAAGAGGTTCTAGGACTTCTGTCCAGCTGAATATTCTTCAACATAAGCCTAGAAGCCAAGGCTTATCGAGAGACATCCCAGATGGCTGTGGGCAAGTTTTGTCCCTCAGATCCGCCCTGCCAATCTTCCTTCCTCGGCCAATGACTAGGGTTACCTTACCGCAGAAGGCTGTTGTCGCCAGGCGGCTGCGTTCCAAGGGAGGTGCCCATTTGCTCCAGATACCATGGCACGCTGGGTAGGTGACCCCCTGGCAGAGAGAGAGGTGGACAGAAAGAGTTGCATATAGACCAGCCTTATTTTTCTTCTAGCAAAAAACAGGCATGCCCAAAACAAGCTTGGCTCTGCTCTAGGAGAAGGATGGATCTGAGGTGATGTCAGAAGTCAGCCCAAAACTTTCATCTGGGGTCCCAGATCTCTGGGAGGCCATCTGTCCCACCCGCCATGGCCACTGGCTGAAGTAAATTGATGGAAACCTGGATGAACTCTGTTGCATCTGACCCCCCCCCCCCCGGTTTAACTGGATTTTTGCCCACATGTGCTTCACCTCCTGCTGCCCCTCCTCCTTCTCTCTGAAGAGTTTTCCTGAAGTCGCATGCCTTCCTCTCCCCTGTCCATATATCCCTTTTTCAAACAGGGGTGCCCTTGGGAGACAGGGTCCTCTGAAGACACAGCCCAGATCTTTTCGGTACCTAGCACTGCCCCTGGTTTGGATGCCTCTGGAGGACGGTGATGCTGCACCAAAGAAACAGGGCTAGGCCAGTCTGACCAACGACATTTTGCCATCTAACACAGACAAGATATCACCTTTCCCCTTTTTGGATGAAATCTGACCAACGTGACCACTGAACTGTACGCCCACACGGGCAGCTGGGCAAGATCTTTTGTTACGCTGGAGGAGCAGCGGGCCAGCTTAGGAGGTCAGGGACCTGTTCACCACTCCCCACCCTTCAACAACCTGTCCAAGGCAGGTGCTCACTGCCTAATGGTACAGCTGGCCCTGGGACTGAGGGTTCAGAGTGAAAGGTGTCCATAAAATAGGCCACCGAGGATGCACTGAGACGGTGTGATGGGTCTTACCTCCACAAGGCCTTGCAGGATCCGCACAAAGATCACACAGCCAAAGTGGACCCGAGCTGCTGCTGGAATCAGCATGTTTAGAGTAGATGTTGCCACAATAGCAAAGCCAAAAACCCTGGGGCCCAAAATATGGGGGTTAATAGGAGTGGCAAAGAAACAAAGGGGGGGGGGGAACAGTGCTGCTTTCTTTTGTTTCTTATCAGTTGTTTTTTCCCCCAAACTCATGACATTTTTATTTCACTCATCATCCAAGGAGCTCAGTTCTCCCTGCCCTCATCCCTGGTCCTCCATAAGACAGGGAGAGAGAGAAAGAGAGAGATTGGCTGGCTGGCTGGCTGGGAAATGTGGCCTTATAGGACATTTTTTCTATCTAAGCCTGCATAGGATTCTGCCCTAGGTGGCTTCAGGGAAATCACCATCTTTCTAATTTAGTACTCTGTCTGCAATTTAGAGAATGAGCCCAAGATTGGCCTCCCTTGCCGGGTTGTTGTGAGGATTTCCAAGACGATTCCCTTAATTAAAAATCATCTTATCCATCCTACTGTGCAAATCTGTGTGGGTCTGCCATTGTTGCAGGTGGGACAAGGAAGGACACAGCCATTCTCTGCATAGGAACGGGAGTTCAATCATCTTTTTCACGTAACACAGGACATGACTTCCTAGTCCTCAGTGAAATAAGGCTTAAATATATTTAATGAATCCATATTCTTCCCCCATTCATTCCTCATCATTCCTTTCCTCTTGTTCTATAGTTTCCTCTCTGTTAAATTTTAGACTGTAAGCCCTGTGGAAAGAGATCTGTCCTTTTGTATGTTCTAAAATGCCATATGCTCAGAGAGAAGAAGAAGAAATAATTGGAAAGCCTATGGGGTTCTGCTAATTACTGTTAACACACATAAATATGTGTCTACTCCCACATGTATACCCTGCACATAACATAAGAGGGAGGAACTGTCAGACTCAGGTGAACCCCCAGGATCAGCAAAAGCACAGAGAAAAAAAAATCTGTAGGAAAAGAAAAGAGGGGCAGAGGTTAGGCACATGCTCAGCCCTCGCTAGAATGTGTTAGAGGGTCCCTCCATGTACGGATCATTTTCCTTGGCCTGCTTTCTGTGGTGGCACCATGTGGGGATGCTCAGCCACATCTCTCCACCCCACTCTGAGTATTAACGCTTCCAGTTCCAGCCTGACTGCAGAGAGTCACAGAGAATTAAGTGCAACCGAGCTGAGTCGGTTCCACGTCTTATTTGTTCCACACAGCTGCTTCAACCCCGAGGGAGAAAAACAATGTCCATCATTACCCTGCCATCATTTACCCCAGAAATTGAGAACCTGCCATCATTCAGATCCTGTTGTTATTTATCGGATTTTTATCCTGCCACATTAGCCCATTAGTCTTCCTGAGTTGGACTTCAACTCCCCTTAGCCCCAGCAAGCAGAACACAGGACCAGGGATGCTTGGACTCAAAATCCAACAACACTGAGAGACCAGCAGATTCCTTATCCCAGTTTATACGGACACATGCCAAACCACACACGACTCAGTTTTTACCTGTTAGCAGCAAATTTCTGTGCAATGAACCCCCCTGGAATCTGGGTGACAATGTAACCCCAGAAGAAGGACCCGTGAATCATGCCCACCGTCTCTGGATCCCAGTTAAACTCAGCTTTCTGAAGAAGAAGAAATTAACAGGGGAGAGATGGGTAGCACATCCTGGCTAAAAGTAGCAGTGGAGCGTGGCAGCTGTCAGGAAATGAATCTGGGGCAAATGCCTAGAGCCCCACTTTCTGCAGAAGGAGAGGGGCGGAAGGGTATAGGGACGGGGCACATTTCCTTATAAAAAAGCCTTCAAAGGTTACAGAAACAGATTCTGGCTCAGATTTGAGAGGCTATAATCTGCAGCTGAAATGCCAAGGCCACTGCACCCAGTGACAAGTCAGGCAGCCAACTAAGAATCAGTTTCAAATACTGAGGGAAAGTTTAGTGAGCGTGCAGAGGTGGAGGGGAGGGGACCTAGCATCATTAATCCCAGGGAACAGCATCAGGTTAAGAGTGCTGACCAGGTGGGAAGCAGCCTGAGATGCTGCAAGCAATCGGCCCCGAAGATGGAAGACCCTCTTTTCACTTTGAAAGGGACGAGAGGCATTCTGCTCAGAAGCAACTTATTGTTATGGCACACTTCCTCATGGACTGCATGCTAACTTTGCTTGTGCCTTTTGTTACTGGCCTCTACAATAGGCTTCTTTGGCATTACAAGCCAGCCTAACTGGTCAGCCTTAACATAATAACCTCTTCATTTAGAAAGAATTTCTCCAGGTCTGCTTGGAAGGCAGGGAGAAGAAGAGCCACACACACATTTGAATATGAAGTAATGCACATTTCCATCTAAAGACTCCCCCACCCTACAAAACCCTATTAAATCCAGAGAGGGGCTCCCCAGTACAAATCATTCAGCCCTATAATATGTAAGGGCACCATCTGATGCATGTTTTGATAGAAAAAAAACATCCTAAAAGCTTATCCATTCTAGCCAGGAAATCCTGGGAGTTGTGGGACTTTTTTTTTGTCTAATCACACATAGGATGCTGCCCTAAGTGCACCAATAGTGTTGAGATTTGACCTGAGTTTGGGCCTGTATTATTTGGGAATAAAGTGCCTCTGGGGATGTGGAGAGTGCATTTCTCTTACAATTAAATATTGCTGTTCTCTACCTCTCCAGGAATAGAGGAAATGTCTATGAGGTCAAAGACATGACTCTTAGATAGGCCAGCTCCCCCATCCCCATCTTTCTTCTTAAAAATTAAGCACCGTGGCAAATTGTCCAGCTTCCATTCCTCATGTGGGCTGCTTTGAGCCAGCCAGCCTGCTCAAAACCTGGCAGCACAGATGACAAACAGGTAAGGCTTGGGGCCAAGTCCCACGCTATGGAGGAAGCCGGGCAAGTTCTGTGGACCAGATGTGGATCCTCAGCTGGCCACCCTAGGCCTGTGGGGCTGGAGGCTCGCACCCCTGCATCAGAGAGGGTGCCGAATGCCCCTCCAGCGAAGGGGCCCTTCCCGCCTCCGAGCCAAGGCAGCGTCCCCCAGGAGAAGAAGGATGGTCTCACCTTCACGATGACTTTGTCCCCTTCATAGACGGTGTTGTTGTTGACCATGCTGACAATGGCCACCCCCAGGTTGCACCGGATGCCAAAGCTGATGCAGAAGCCGAGGCCACAGAGGATGGCGATGATGTAGCGGCGAGGGAGGCCAAAGCAGGTGCAGTCCACGATCGGCTGGTGCTTTTCGGCCACCGCGACAGGCTGGCCCTCCTCGGTCAGCTCGATGGTCTCCCCTCCTGGCTGTTTCCGTTCGAGGACCCTGTTGGCGGAGACAATGGGAGGGCTGGCATGAGGAGGATGGCAAAGAGAATCCAAGGCTACCAACCGCCCAGAGGCAACGGCGGGTGAGCTTCCCGTATTCTGCTCCTGCGGATAGGCCCTTCTGAATGCTCCAAACCCTATCTTCCCTGACAAGCAGCCATACTTGCTGGGAATGATGGGAGTTGGAGTGCAGCAACAGCTGCAGGGCTACAATCTTCCTGGGCCAGGTTTGACATTTGGGATCAGCCCAAAGCTCCCTGGTGTCGGTGGTCCACCCTATTGCTCTCAGCACAGCCTACCTCAGAGGGTTGTTGAGAGGATAAAATGAGAACCCTTTTATGCCTTCCTGGACTGGTTGAACTTCACCTTCCCTCAGTCCCAGTCTGCATGTCTAATGGTCAGAAATGATGGGAGTTGTAGTCCAGCAATATCTAGAGAGTTCCTTGGATGATGAATGAGATAAAAAAATACTTAAAATGAAATATTTTCTTGAGACATCCTTCAAGTTGTATGTATTTTTTCAGATAGGAGTGATATGTGGGAGAGGGGAAATGAACTCACAGATGGGAAAAGGAGGAAAATGACAAACAGAATGCACACACGCACACACAGAGGAAAAGACATATAGCTTGACAGTAAAGGGAGAAGAATTCAAAGTTTACATTGCAATTCTGCATATGTATATTCAGAAGTAAAGCACTGTGAATTCAACAGGGCAAGGGACAGGGTATAGGATTGTGACCTGAGGGGGGTGAAAGGGGCAGGAGGGGGAGCCATGGTGGTCTAGATATAGCCGGACTGTATCTCCCAGCATCCTTGAGCCTTGGCCATGCTGGCTTGGTCTACCTGGATCTGGAGTCCAAAAGCATTTGTTTCCCACTCCTGGAAAAAAATAAAAAATCCAAGCATAAAGCACACCAACAAATCTTGAGTTCCACCAAAGCTTTCCTTAGCTTCCGTGTTAAAGAAAAGGTTGCCCAGCTGATTGCTTTTGCGTGGATGCAAGCAAGCAGGCCTTGCTGACCGGACAGAAGATCCTGCCTTGTGTCTCAAGCTAATAGGGGGGCTTGGAGTGCCCCCAAGTCTTGGTGCAGTGCCACCCCCTTCCTACTCTTACACACCGTCTAGTCAGCCTCATGGTGGGGGGGCTGCTGCTACCCACACAGAAGCTGTTCCCGTCAGAGCTGGTGCAGATGGGCTGTGAGCTCAGTCTTGGCACCGGGCCTGCGGACGCCTTGTCTCACTTAGCAACAATGCAAGCGAAGGGTCCTTCTGCTTCTGGACCGCCCCTGCTTCTCCCTGCCCTCCATCCCTATTTCAAACCCCATTTCTTCTTGCCCTCCATCTGAGGCCATAGCACCATTCCTCATTTGTGGAAATGAATGGGTTGTGATGGGAATACTGTGCATGTCGGCACCCCTCTCTTATCCCAGGGGAATTTTTAAAAGGAGCAGGTGATGCATCTTTCAAGATGCTCAGGATACAGGGGACCGGGGTTCCCAGCCCTCTTACTTTCTGTGATCACCTCCTTAGCTAGGGTGGGAACTAGTTTTGCACTGGATCAGCTGTGCTGCTGGAATCCGATTTTCCCACCCTTTCCTTCTCGTGGCAGCCTCTGCCCCCTCTGATTATGCTACAGAGAGAACAATGGGGTGGGCTCTGGGGTGTGTGTGTTGTGGGGAAGAGGGCCACCTAAAATTGCACACTGCCGTCTCTCACCAGCTCCCCCTCACGCAGAAGGCAGACTGCCACTGGTTTTGCAGGGTGCTGGGAGCATCAAGATTTGGCTAAAATTTGAGAGGGACAGTCAGTCAGTCGGGCTTGTGGATTTCACTAGGGGCTGCTCTACTTTGACCCCCCACCACATCATTCAAGCTTTAACATTCCCCTTTCCCAATTAAAGTCAATTCAAAACTGCCTTACTATCTCAAATCTAACCAGCAGCAACAATAAAGGGTAGACTGTCGGTTTTAATTTGCATTTTTTCTAATCGTAAATTTGGTTTATTCTAAATGCAGAGAGATTTTTCTTAAGTTTGTATTTTTGTGTGTATATCTCTTAATACCAGCCTTTATATGCAATTAGCCTAATACACATTTTTTTGCAAGCAACTTCCCTTATGTACTTTTATCTTCACAAAATATGCATTTCTGTATGCATTTTTTAAAACTGGAAAACTTCATTCCAAAATTTAGAGAAGTAAAAATTTTGAAGAAAATTTGAGCTGAGGTTTGCCTCTTGGTTCCAAAGGGTACAGTAAGATATGTTCACATGAAAAAGCAACCTGGACATATTTCCCCTCTATTCCCATCAAGAATTTGGATCCAGATTTAGCAACTGGGCGGGTTGTACTGCGGCCTCTCCAGCCCCCCTGAAAATGCTACACAGAGGATCAGGAGACCCACCTGAGAGAGTGAGCTGTGATGCGGGAGAGCAGAATCTGCAAAATTTAGGTGGGGAAGGGAGATCCTGGATCCCCCTGGGATCATGAGGATCACAACTTTCAGGACTACTGGGATGCACTGGTCAGAGCAACCTTGTTTTCAGCACTCTCCACAGACAGCTACGGAGTACACGGAAGCAGATGAGCAAACTGGTGGAGGCAGGATGGAGCGTTCCATCCCTCCTTTATGCCTGGGGTAGAAAGCAGGCAGATTCCCAGGGCAGGGACATCTCCTCTACCATTCTGACATACAAATGCAATGAACTGCTGCAGGAGCACTAGAGCCCTCCATTCTTCATCTTCCAGCCTCCAGCAGGCTAGCAAACATTTTTGTGGACTAGTAACTTTACTGGGATTATGCATAAGGCAGGCAACAGAAATCCCAGACACAAAGTTTATTTTGGCCTGTTATTAATTCTAGTCTACCTCACAGGGTTGTGAGGATAAAGGGGGCCACATACACCACACTGAGTGATCTGGAAGAAAGGGTGGGTGGAAAACCTGATAAGTAGGCCAGCGGTTCTTAGCTTTCTTCTTCTTAACATTTCTTCATAGCTCATCCTCCAAATGCAAATTCAGTATCCTGATTGGTTCAAGAACAGAAAAGATGCCCCTTCCCAAGAGTCACGCTACTGGAGAAGGTGTTTATTTTTCAGAGGCTATTTGCTTCCAGAATCAAGTTTTCTGCCTATTTTATAGGTCTGATAGCTTGGCACAGTAATTTAGCTGAGTTCCTTCCTGCCAACTTGTCAGAAAAACCTTGAGCTGCTATATTTCTACACACTGAGTGATCCTACCTACATCAGCAGGCTTCATCCCAGGGTTGTGAACTTTTTACCAGCCCCAGTGATACTCCCTTCAGCAGATGGATGTTTGGCTCAGAAAACGAGCTGAACCTTGGAAAAAATGGTAATACAAATGCTGTCTCCCGAACACACAAAGTCCCCAGAACACTCTGGTGAACTTGCTAGAATATAAACTATACACACACATGCAAAGATGCATACAAGTGTTGCTTGGGTCTATATCAAGCCGTTTGATCCGAAGCCAATAGCAGGCAATTGTGTTTGGCTCCATGAAAACCTTTTTGCTATCAGAGAGCAAACTTCTGTTGAGACCAATGCAGGGAAGACGCAAAGCTGCTTTCTGGTCAGCTAGTAATTTCTATTATTTATTTGTACTTGTGTATTAGATTTTTGTCTTGCCGTTTTTTCTTCCAAGAAACTCAAGGCAGCTGGCATAATTCTCCTCCTCCTCTCTATCTTCTCCTCATAACAACAACCCTGTGAGGTAGGTCTGTGACTAGCCCAAAGTCACCCAGGGGGCTCCAGGGGTGGGGACTAGAACCCAGCACGCTGAGTCCCAGTCTTGCACTCCTAAGCAGCGCACCACACACCTGCTCCTTCCTCCCCGCTACACTTGGGGAACCCAGTGCCCTTCCACGAAATGCTTCTGGGCTTGACTGTATATAGGGCATGTTCATGCAGGCGCTGCAAGGGGGCCAGGACTGGCAAGGGCTCAGCACCAGAAACGTTGGATGGCAGCTGTGCTGATGTCGTTTGCCACCCTCACCCCCAGACTTCCCTGCTTCCTCTGAATTTAGCAACACTCCTCACAGTGGAGCTGGGTGAGAAATGAATCTTCCCAGAAGCAGAGTTATTTTTCCCTGTTGCAATTCTGTGCATCTTAGGGTGGCTTAGTCTGGAATGGGCCATTAAGACCCAATTGCTTTGAAAAAGACACTTTCCAATGGAGGAGAAATAGGCTAGAATTGATTTGTCAATACAGAGCGATACAGCGGCATGTATTTTGGACATGCCTGGCAGTGTGGCCACAAGGATGGTCATGAGTCCCTGTGCATCAAAATGTACCACTGCACCCTCGTGGAAGCCTCGCAGTTCCAATTACTTTTGCTGCAAGGAGTGTTGGGATTTGTGGAACGATGGCCAGTGACTTCAAGAACTTTGGGCATTCTCCCTTCTTGCAGTTCTTTGGTCCGAAGCCAGACTTGGAGTGGGCAGCTTTTCAAAGTCCTCTGCTGGTCGGCCCAGTCATCTTGCTCCTTGCAGTACTGCACCACCCTGTTCTGGATCTTGCCCAACTCTAGAGGTGATCCCTTTTGCTGACGTCAGCTTAAGGCAGTGGGGCTGGCAGCTTAGGAGGGGAGGTTTTAAATATCCCCGGCTAAGCTGCCCACTGCCAGCAGGTTTATCATGTCCTTGGGCAGTGCCCTAAGCTTATCAGGCTCCGATTTCTTACCTGGTGTCATCTTCATGCCACCAAATCCAGGCACTAATGGCTGGCAGGGTAATAAACCCCACTCTGCCCCGACACTTGAATACTCTCATATTCATGCGCAAATAACTAGCTAAGACATCAAACAGCTCGATCCGTTTGCTTACCCAGAACTAAATTCCAGTGGAGTTTATGCTTTGGAATGTTTTCACAGGGCCTTCCTCCAGCCTAGCAGCCTTCAGGTTTTGAGACTATGACTCCCATCATCCCCAAACATTGATCATGCTGGCTAGGGCTGATGGGAAGTTCAGCAAGAAGGAAAGGTTTTCCATCAGGCAGTCAGAGGCTGTGCAGTTTTCTGCATGTGTCTTGAGACAGAAAAAAGTCCAACAGCTCCCAGAATTCCCGCCAGTCATGCCCAACCAGGCATGATGGGAGTTGAAGGACTTTTCTGTACAATACACTTTCTGTACAACACACTTTCAGTTCAAATACACTTTCTGTCTGCAGCCCACCAAAACCTGTGGGCTGAATCCAGACTTTGAGGAAGTCCATTGGAATCAACAGGATGAGATAGGCATAAACCGCAATGATTTCGGGGGGGGGGGGGCTGCTCTAAATCCCAGCAGATTCAGAAATAATGGATCTACTCTATGCCTGGATACCCCAGTGGGAGCCACGCTGTTGGAGCCCCCAGCCCCTTTAATCCAAAGATGATGCTGCCAGTGAAGCAGGACTACCTAGCCAGTCATCTAGGTTAGCTAACGACCTAGACCAGCCATTCCAACCTGGCACCCTTCAGATGTGTGGGGCCACAGTTACCAGAATCCCCAGGTGGTTGCGCCTGTGGGGACTTATGCAGGGCAGGTTCCCACAGGGAGCCTTCCCTACCAGGCTGGGGAAGACTGCTTTCTTCTGAGTGGGGGATCGCTTCAGGTTGTGCACTGCGCAGCTGATCGAAGGGGAAACACTTGCAAACAGAGGATGGCCCTCGGTCGGTTCTTCAAGAAGAGGGCTCTGTTGGAAGCGCTGCTCTGCGCGCTCATTCTCCAGGACTCCTGTCTGGACTTCGGCGGAATCAGAGTCAGAACTGGGGAGAGCCTGGGAACGTGGGCCAAGCCGAGACTGAGATGAAAGAAGCTGCCAGAGCAATGCGACAGTGGAGGCAGCTGCCTGGAGAGGTGGTGGGCCCTCCGCACACCAGAGACATTCAGAAAGAAGCCGGGTGTAACGTGGTGTCCTGCAACAGCAGGCAGTTGGACCCGATGGCCTTCCTGGCCCCTTCCAGCTCTACTCTTCTGCGATTCTATGAAGCTTCTCTCAAGACCAGGCCCCCCAGGTGGGCTGGCAGACCCTGGGAATAACCAAGATGTATAGCTGGTGGAAAGGAGCCCAGAGTAAGGGGGCTTCTCAGACTCCCCACCCCATGACACATCATGAGAAGAGGGCAGTCCAATTAGAGGATTGGCACGCAGAGAGGAGGTGTCTGAAGCCCCTCCCGCCCCCCAGGGATGGGGCCCAGGCATGCTCATAAGGAGAGTTTCTAGCGGTGACTGGATTTAAAAAACTGCTCTGTGCACGGTAATATTCATTCTGGGTGCTTTGTGCTTTTCGGTCAATACAGAACACTGT